TCCAATCTATCCTCGACTTTTCCATTAGCCTCGCGCGTGGCGCGAGCGAGGTAAGGCTCGGCGGCTCGGAGAAGATCCGCAAAGTGTCGTAGATGAGGAGGCGGAGAGGGCGGAGGCGGAGAGGAGGATGGGCAACGACAACGAGCGCGCTCGGGAGAGGAAGGAGATTGGTGAGGAATGCCGAGGAGGATGTGGTGGAGGGTCGGAGCGCTTGGCGGCTTTGCATAGTCTTATTTTCCGCGCACCTTGTCTCATGCAAAGTAACTGGTATGAAGTAATATCGTAAGATACATACCTGTCTATCATTACCGGTGTCCATCCGCGCAGATGCTCTATGGCCAGATTCCGTCAGGAGGGATGGGAGTTGGCCAGAATTAGGCGGCGCTTGCGGTTTCCGGAAAGGGTAGGTCAGTTTCGGGCGCCGTGGCCATGCGAGACCATGGTTTGCTAGTTTTGCTGATGTTGCAGTCGGGCTGGCGATGGACAGTCTTCGCGGATCACCGCATCCGACTCGGTGGCGGCAACATGCGCATCGGTCGGGCCCTCGACAAGCGTGACTGTTGTTACAGGAGACAGTCAGCCCACGGAGAGGAGAGGAGAGGAGAGGAACAGAACGTACCGTTCAGCCAAGTTACCGACGGTAGTGTCGCGGTGAAAGTCCCGCTGGGAGAGCCGGTGGCGAGTACCCAGGTCGTATGGCCGCTTGCGTCAACGCCGATAGGGTCTGCGGTGAGGGGAACACCTTCCCCGAAGACATTGGACGGGATGTACAGAGACACTACGGCCGCGTGAACGTCTGCGGTACTGTGTCAGCATGACAGAACAATGCCTGTGACTGAGGTGAATGACTACCGAGGGCGTAGAGGGTAGCAAGAAGGGCAATTGCAGCCATATGTGTAGAGATCATAGCCGTGGGTCGTGAAAGGAAGGTCTGGGCTCAGCAAGCCACCGAAGGCACGAAGATGAAAGAGGGGTAACGTTCGCAAGACCAGCAGCGAGATGTAGAGGAAAAGGAGGCTCTCAGAGGTAGCGACGAAATGAAAGATGTTGTTCCTGTCCATGACTCTCGCTCCTTTATACGCACCGAACCGATCAGGCGCCATCTTCTGCGTACGAGTTCAGAATTCCGGTCCAGGGAGCAAGGCTGCGTTCGGCAAGCGATCGCGCTGGCCTTCCATCAAACGGGCCATTGACGAGCAACTATACTGCATAGCACAGCTCACTATCAGGCTGGACAGGGGCTTGCGAACTAATACCATCGCCCTTTGTGCTATGATGCTGATGGTGGTAACCCCTGAATATGCCAAAATGTCAAAACAAGCGCATGCTAACTATCGTAACGCGAAACCACCGGACGCCACGCACCGTCAAATACCCCTCCATGAGACCGTCCGCTACTGACAGACAGCGTCAAACAACCGCACAGTAGCACATGTTCCCTCAATCTAGACATGTCACCGGCAGGCTCTGCAGCCTGTCAAACACCTGGCTCTGCAGCGTCGCGTTCACGTCCAGCTTGCTCGACGAGCTGATCACCGACACGCTCGCGTAGCATCCCGCGTCTACCACGCTCGACTCGGACGGCAGGTGCTGCGTGCCGCACGTCGCCGCGTCTGTCTGGAGCGGGTCCCACACGAGCCGCGAGAAGACCCACTTGTAACTGGACGAGGTCGGGCAGCTGTCGATCGCGGCATAGTTCACGTTCGCGATCACACCAGGCGGGAGGACCGCGCCTGGGGTAGAGGTGACGGCCTGGACGAAGTCGGCGGTCAGGTTGGAGTATATCTGCGCGGCGAGGGTGGAGGCGCCCCTCGGGTCGGAATCGAGGGTCGTGTAGGAGACCTGGGAGCCGGATACCCCGGAGAAGGCTGCCGCGGGGATGCCTGAACGCGCGGCTTCGCATGCGGCGCCACTTTGGGAGCCATAGGAGGTGAGTGGATCGTATGCTCGTGGCCACGAACGGAATAGAGCTCACACGGTGCCGGAGAACAGGACGACGAGCCCGAGATTGCTGCCAATGTTGGGGCCGCTGACGACGAAGTCGGGCGGAGCCCCGTGCAACTGGGGGGCGAGGGTCTGGATGCCGAATCTCGCGGCGTCGACGCTATGGATGGACCCAATGAGATGAAGACACCGAGTTTATAGTCTGCAACGTACGGGTATCCGTTGACATAGTTCAAGCGTGCTACGTATGTGCATGCACATAAGTTGTGAGTGTTCAACAGCGACGTTCGAAATGGACTTACAATTGGTAGCATTGGATCCTGTCGCAGGGGAACCAGCAGGGCAGGAGTCGAACTCGCAGGGCTCGGTTAGAGGGCTAGGCGTCTTGGACAAGGAGCCCTTGCCTGACTGGTTCAATGCGGGAGCAGAAAGGATCACCTAAATTCGTTGCGAGAAACAGTTGTCAATCCTCTTCACGGGACACGCCGAATCGAATACAAATTCGCGTCTACAATTGGACGGCTCTGCCCACTTGCTCGTCCGCAGTGAGAAGAGGGAACTTACACTATGGCCCGCGCCCGTGAGGACATCATATTGCTGGCGGATTTGAGCGGTCGCCCATCCATCATCATTGGATATCACGATGTTCGTCGCTGCGGCGTATGCACTGAGAAGAGTGAAGGAGAGAGCGAGAGAGCGCATAGCGGCGGACGGACGAAAGAGGGGTATAGGCGTCGGGGCTGCGGGGGCGGGGGAAAGAAGCAAACCTGAAGGATCATCATGGGTCGGACCGATTCTACATATATAACAGCGGCGGCCAGGTCATTACGCACAGCCGAGGATTCGAAGGCGAGGATCATATGCGTCGAGAAGCACGGTGATGCCGGCGTCGAAGCGACGCCGACAGTCAAATGGTGAACGGCTGAACATTCTTACGTAGTATATATACACCGAGCGGGAGGTCCAAGCTCGGTATCGCAGCTATCCCAATTGGTGCTACCGCCCGAGGCTGGTTGAGGCTGACCATGAGACTTTGAGACATCCGCCCACGTTGCTATCGTGGGGAGCGAATCGCCTGCCTGGTTCGGCGATTTCCCTTCCCTTAGAAGGGCAGTTGAGTGAGTGAAATGCTAACCAAATCCAGTAACAAAAGCTCTGAGTGGGAGAAACTGCTGAAAAGGGCCAGAACGTTAGATTTCCAGTACGGTTGCATGCGCCGTGGTCAAGCCGTGTATGGCGCCACAGTGTATCGGCTCACCTACACGTCGAACTTTGTACTGTGCGGATTTTCCCGAGAAATGTCGCTTGTCGGTACGTCCAAGCGCGCCTCCGGAGGCTTGTCGTCGTGCTCCCCGTGCACGTCGCGCCTGGGGGTCGAAACGTTATCGGAGTTCTCTGAGTTACCCATAAGCCTTCTCAAACTATCACCAAGGTGTCCTCGGGGCACCTTCACCTCGAGATGAGTGCTTGCGACTCCCCACCTGCCACACCACAGATGTTTGCCGACAATCGTGGTGCACACCGCGGCGCCATACACGGCTTGACCGCGGTGCTACCATACTGGAAATCTTACGTTCCCAAGAGGACGGCAAGCTCATGTGCCCAGATGACAGAAAAAAGCAACATAAGTAGTGTACACGGCAGAAATGTTTTGGGCTATTCTGCCGGCAGATATGGCAGATATGGCAATTGCCATGGTCGGCAGAAACTGGCAAATACTTAAGCGCCTCGTGGAGAGACATCGAGTCTGGAGTGAGTTCCTCTTGACATACATTCATCAGAGTGCCCTAGGGAGTACCTGAAAACGTTGTCAGCTTACCATTCAGCCTCAGATGAGGCTTCAAAGCTTTCTGAAGGGGTGCAGTGCATGAAGAGCGGCGTAGGCTGCTCCTCATTGTTCTAGCGTCGGTCACACTTTCACCAAAGAACAAGGTGAGAGCAATCAGCATCGTCCTGAGCCCACAGAACGCAGTGCTGTGGAAGCCGTCACATAAGTACTAGTACTTTTACAGGGCTTTTGTATGAGTACCCAGGCATCAGAAGCCTGCGGGAACCACCCCTAAAACCATTTTCTGATATGAGCGCTGAATATATTTGCCAGTATTTGCCAGTGCAGGCCCGCTGGCCGAACGGCAATTGCCATTCTGCCGCGTACACTAAACATAAGAGCACCAGAGATAAGATAAGATGCAGTTTGTCGCCTCGCTCAGAACGGTCCGTTGACTCGAGAAATATCTTCTCTTCTCACCGTCCTCCCCTCCTACCTTTCTCATCAACATACTCTACTGCTCCTATGGCTATCACCCAAACATTCAATGATGTCAACGACGACGCCCGCAACGGTGCATACTCGACGCCCGCTCAGCCAGCCGAACTCGATGTACGTCCTCAATTCGACCCATGAGAGTGCTCGGTGTGAATACACCCTACCTAGGCATCGAAAGTCACCATTACAGTGGCGCGCGAATTCAAGCCAGTACCCCCTGCGTCAGAGTTGGTCTTCGGGCAGGTGAGTCTCAATCAACCACAACCCTGTATTCTCCAGCCTTCGCTCGTAGATGGTGCTGTCGTCCTCACCGACAAATGTGAGCGAGAGAACACCTCGGTCCACAGGCCGGGCTTGTTTGTCAGGTCTCCTCAGATGCTTCCCACTCCAAGCGCTGACACACGACTCCAATTCCATCCGTACTAACGACGTCCTGCAGGTAATGACAGACCACATGATGGTCGTTCACTATGACCCAGTGAATGGTTGGTCTGCACCAGAGATCAAGCCTTACGGCCCATTGTCGATCGATCCCGCAAGCTCATGCTTGCAATACGCGACGAACGTCTTCGAGGGAATGAAGGCATACGCCGGCCCGGACGGCAGGCCCCGCCTCTTCCGCCCAGACATGAACATGAAGCGCATGCAGATCTCCGCCGCACGCGTCGCCCTCCCCCCTTTCGACACCGCCGAGCTGCTCAAGCTCATTCACAAGCTCGTCGCTCTCGACGCCCGCTGGATCCCCACCGTCAAGGGCCACAGCCTCTACATCCGCCCCACCATCATCGGCACCCGAGACTGTGAGTACGCACACGATCTTCTCCTTTCGCCAGCTCCTACTCACCTGAAACCTGGGGTCTGGATGACAGCCCTGGGGGTAGCTGCGTCGGACCGCGCCACCCTCTACGTTATCCTGTGCCCGACGGGGCCCTTCTTCCGCACGGGGGCACGTCCCGTCAACCTCCTCGCCGTGCATGATCACGTCCGCGCGTGGCCTGGCGGCACGGGCGGATACAAGCTCGCGCTCAACTACGCCCCAACGTTCAAGCCGCAGCAGCACGCTGCGAAGCTCGGGTACGACCAGTGCCTGTGGCTGCTGGGCGAGAAGATCACCGAGGCCGGCGCGATGAACTTCTTTGTCGTCGTGAGAAGGGATGATGGCGGTAAGTGCAATGATCTCCGACGCTACGCGTGCCTGGAGGGGAGGGAACCTGCTGACACGGATTCGGATTCGACTAGACCTGGACGTGATCACCCCGCCGCTGGACGGTACGATTCTCCCTGGCATCACGCGCGCCTCGACGCTCGACCTCATCCGCGCGCACCCGTCGCGCACGACCCTCCCTGGGCTGTCTCCCGAGACGCTCCTGCACGCCGTCGAGCGCGAGCTCACGATATCGCAGCTCGCCGCGTGGGCTGAGGAGGGCCGCCTGCTCGAGGCGTTCACCGTCGGGACCGCCGTCGTTGTTGCAGCCGTTGGCCGTATCGGGCATGACGGGAAGGACATTGTGTTGCCGGCACACGAGGGCGCGCTGGGGGCGGTTGCGAGGGCCCTGTATGAGCGCATTACGGACATCCAGGAAGGCCGTTTCGAGTGGGAGAACTGGTCCGTGCCTTGCGCGTAAGGCCTGGCATAAGGGTGATCAGTAAATGAAGACGGAGAGACGGGAATCAGGGATGACGGTACGAGGGACGAGAGAAGCGAGCAGGGTGAAAATTAGTACATAATTTGTTGTAAATCTGATGGGCCAATGTACGTCTATACCTACTGCTACAAGCTGTATATCCTGCGTACACCGCGCTGCGACATCCTAGCGGCGTAGGGTATACATGGAGGTGTGAAAATGTCGGCTCGAATCCTTGGGAAGGGCAGGCACTACTCGTCGAGGTCGCCAGCCGCCGAAGCCGCCTTGCGTTCCAATTTCTTCGCACCCCTCCCGAGCCGATACCGCTCATTCACCTCGTCAGGCGTGAGCATACGCTTCCGCTGCAGCAGCGGCACGTACACCCCTGCACGCTTCACCATGCCCCCACCCAACGGCACGCTCATCATCGCTCCAGGAGGCAGCGGCTCCACGCCCGGTGCCCCAACAGGGAAGTACTGCTGCGGAGGTTTATGATGCGCCTCTGCGGCCTTGAGGAAATGCGCCTCGAGCGCAGTCGTGACCGACGCGCGTTCGTACGCGCAGATCATGCCCCGCAGAGGACTCTTCGCAGAGTCCCCGCCACGACTGCTCGAGCGGTCGATCCGCCAATCGAGCACACCTTCGTCGTACCCGCACTCCCACAGCATCAGCGGCAGCGGGTCTGCGATCTGGTAGTCGGGCTTGCCCGTGACGAGCGGCGGCACGTCCTCGCCCTCGCGGAAGGGAGGAAGCGGGCGTGCAGGGTCCGCATTGAGGAGCGCGGACATGATCGACGGCCTCTCAAGCCCGGAGCCGACGAGAAAGAGGATGGCCATGATGTGGCGGACCATGTTATAGAGGAACGCGTTCCCGCGCAGGTTGAAGACGTACAGCTCGCCCTTGTCCGCCCTGTCGATGGACGCGTGCAGGATGCGGCGGGTGAAGACAGTGATCTGCTTGCTCGCGTCGATCTTGCAGAGGTTGCGGAAGTCGTGCTCGCCGAGGAGGCGCGAGGCCGCGTCCTGCATCGCGGCTAGGTCGAGCCCGGAGGGGGAGAAGAAGTACTTGTAGTGTCGCCAGCGGCAGCTGAAGCGGGCAGAGAAGTCGTCTGCGACGGGGGACCAGGCGAGCACCCGGATGGTGGGGGGCAGGATGTGGTTCAACGCGAAGACGTACGGGAACTCGAGCTCAGCTTGTGGAGGCGGTTGGGCATGCATGGAGCCGTTTGTGGGCCCTTCGTCGGCCAAGTCGCCCATGAGCCCGAAGTCGCCTTCGAGTCCTGGCCCCTCTGCATCTTCTGCAGATGTTGGAAGCTGTTCTGTCGTCGTCGAGGGCTCCGCGTTGGCGACGTCTTCCTCGATCTCCGCTGCGGTCTTCGACCCTAGGTTACTCCTGACCCACAAACTCACCACCTGCCCTCCCGCGCTCACACCTTTGTCTGTCCTTCCGCATCTCTGCCAGTCGCATCCCTCTAGCCCTCCATCCCTGTCGACGAGCTTCGTGTGCACGAGTGCGTCGAACAGCACGCCCTCGACGGTCGGCAGCGCGGGGTCGCGTTGGAACTCCATCCCGCCATAATGAATCCCGTTGTACGTGAACTTGAGCGCGATCTTGCGTTTTGGATATGCGTTGAAGTCAAACGGCTTGCCCTGCGGCTGCTGTTGGGGCCGAGGACGGTCGTGATGGGGGTCGAGGTGCTGAAGGCGGGCAATCAGCTCTTCTCGTGACCAGTTCTTGTATGGCTCCATTCTCGTGAATCTTGCATAAGGTCGTAAGAGACGGTAGCTGAAGCCACCGGGCATGCAAGGACCGGACGTCCTACCGGTATTTACTTTGGCAAAGGCAGTAAATTTCAAGCAATTCAAGAGCTAAAGAGACGAAGTGCGGGTGTTCCTTTGAGCAAAGAATTCCGGACGAGATCTTCGCAACGTGTAGAGGCGGGAATACAAGCGCACCTGTAAGCGCTAAAGTTACTTAGTCGCAGTGCGAATAACTAGGCTACGTTATTCGCGTATATCAACAGTGTTATCGACCGGCGGATGTCGCACCTGGTTCTTTGCCCTACACTATGTAACGAGGCATGTGCGTGAGCATATAGCATGCCTGGCATCGCCTGATCACGGGCGCTGATGTTTACATACCAGATCTAAACGAGATCGTCCTTCTCTTGGCGGACAAGACCTACTTACATGTACAGGAGACCTACACAGCACTAAGGAGAACGCCTCTATATCGAGCTCTCTATCTACACAGCATGGCCTCGTACTCCCCAACAACCTTCAGTGAGATCTCTGGACTTTCATGGTTCGTCTGGGCATTGCGGAAATGAAAGCCTGAACGCACCTCGAATGTTCCACCGGCGCAGATATCTGGCTGTCCTAGGATCGGCAACCTCCGCCCTTCTAGCACTCCAGCACAAGCAACGAGGCGGTGTACCTTCTTTGTTGTCCTTGAGCTGCAGTGGCACGTTGCGGCGCCCAAAACAGCGGCCAAAATGAATAAATGCACGCGCAAACCCTAGTACGCCCTTCAACCAACGACACCACCATGACGGGCGCACTCTTCGGCGACTCCACCAGCCTGCACGTCAACATCCCCGGTGGCAGTGGCCAGCCGGCGCCGGCCTCCCGGTCTCCCGAAGCACGTACGTTTTTGCGTTCGGCGGTGCGGCGCGGCGCGGTGCCACGCTTCGATGCATTGACGCGTTTCTGTTTGCGCCGCAGCGAGAATAAGAACGTCCGATCTGCCCGATGTCGACGACTTTGCTCCGGACGACGACGTGCGCATGGCCGACGCATCCCAAGGTGCGCCCCGATCCTCACATTCCTAGCGCGTCCCATACGTTCTCGAGCTCATTTGCGGCGGCGCGCCACAACGAAGAATTCGAGGAGCTCCCGCCGGCAGGCCTTTTCGACCATGTGCAGGTGAGTATATGTTTGCATATATGCGTGCTGCGTGTGCTGACGACGGAGCCGAGTAGGCCTTCCCGGGCGACGGCCTTCCTGTGCCGGATCGCCCGCTCATAGCGCCACTCGTGCCTATGCTTACCCTCCGCGAGGAGTATGAGAATGGGTCACAGGGCTTTGTGAAGCAGATTGACTGGCTCATGGACCAAGGCTGGATCGG